TCACTGATGACAACCCATGGAGCACCGTGACGCAGTATGACCCGTTGTAACAGAAAAGATGAAAGAGCGGCTGCTGTGGCCGATGTCAGTGCGTCCGTTTCCGTATAACGCGTTAAATAATCTACACACACTATAACATATCGGTGGCCCGATAGGGTCTTAGGAAGGGGTCCAAGCAAGTCGATGCCGACTTTTTCAAAAGGGGATGTCGGTGAAGGGATGGGCTGCAAATAACCTGCCGGGGCAGTGGTGAATCGCTTGTGGCGCTGACATATAGCGCAGCTGGTGACGTACTGTTTTGTGGTCTTCCACATTTTCGGCCAGTAGAACCTCTAACGTAGTCGATGTAGCGTACGTGTGAAACCGAGATGACCGGATGTTATGTCATCGTGCACAGAACGAAGGGCGACCTGGCGCAGGCATTCTGGCACCACTAGAAGCAACGGGAGGCCATCGGCTGAATAGTTTCTTTTATACAGCAATCCATTTGAAATTTTAAAGTGCTTGTCGATGGTGTTATGTGCAGCTTCGAGCAAGGGTTTCAGAGTAGGGTCGCGCTGCTGCTCACGTTTGAAGCTGCTGGTATCTGGGAAGTTGAACGAGACAGAAGCTAAATAGTCATCAATGTCATCGTCGTCAGCGTTGGTGTGTACTGAAGAAAGGCGGGATAAGCAGTCGGCATCTGTGTGACATCGTCCGCTCTTATAGGTAACAAATAGCTGTACTCTTGGAGGCGCAACGCCCAACGAGCCAGCCGGCCAGACGGGTCACGAAGTCCCACAAGCCAGCATAGTGAGTGGTGATCAGTCACTATTGTGAACTCGCGGCCATGTAGATACGGTCGGAACTTCTGAATGGCGAAGACGACTGCTAAGTACTCGAGCTCGGTGACGGTGTAGTTCTTTTCTGCTCGGGTCAGTGACCGACTGGCATATGCTACGACGTGCTGACGGCTGTTGCAGAGTTGGACCAGCACAACACCAACACCTAGCCCACTAGCATCATTATGAAGTTCAGTCAAAGCATCTGGTTCAAAATGCTTTAGGATGTGTCCTGAACTCAATAAAAACTTCAGCTGTTGAAATGCAGCCTCACATTTATCATCCCACAAGTACGGTGTGTCTTTATGAAGGGACGTCAGTGGGAGGCAAGTTGTGCGAAGTTCTTAATAAATCGGCGGAAATACGAGCACAGACCCACAAAACTTCGCCAGGCATTCACTGTTCGTGGTGGTTTAAAGTTGCGAACCACTGCGGTCTTCTGTGGGTCTGGTAGCACGCCTTCTTTATCCACGAGAAAGCCTAATACGATGGCTTGACGTTCTTCAAAATGACACTTCTTTGAGTTTAAAACAAGGCCAGCTTCGCGTAAGCATTCAAACACAAGCGACAAGCGGTGTTTATGCTCTTGAAAAGTCTTGCCGTAGATAATCACCTCATCTAAATAGCCCATGCAAACTTCCCATTTTAGTCAACGGAGTACTGTATCCATAAGTCTCTCGAATGTCGCTGGAGCATTGCACAAACCAAAGGGAATAACGTTAAACTCATAGAGACCGTCTGGTGTTACAGAGGCCGTCTTCTCTTTATCTGAGGGATGCATCGGAATCTGCCAATACCCAGAACGCAAGTCAACAGAAGAAAAATAGGAGGCCGAATGCGGGCAGTCCACGGCGTCATCTATACGCGGCAAAGGGTAGACGTCTTTCTTTGTGATGGCATTTCGGCGGCGATAGTCTACGCAGAATCTCCATGAATTATCCTTTTTCCTGACTAGAATGACAGGAGCTGCCCATGGACTACACGATTCTTGTATGACGCCCTTCTTTAGCATGTCTTCAACTTGCTCAGCGATGGCTTTCCTTTCGGAAGGCGATACAGGATAGGGCTTCTGGCGTATTGGTGGTGCTTGGCCTGTATAGATGCGGTGTTGCGTACGTGAAGACGGTGGCGTCACGGTAGACGTCTCGTCTTGGGCTAAGTCAAAGACTGAGGCGTAGCGTGCAATCACCTCCTGCAGCAGCGAACGTTCAGTTGATGGAAGTGACTTGTTAATCATACGGTCACTGCTGGCAGAATAGTCGCGGTACGAGTTGGCGTAGGGTTTCTTGACATCCACCGACAGTTGTAGTGACCATATGGTAAGAGTACTTTGCTTTTGAAAGCTTGCCAATTTAAGTCCTGCAGGCAGATATATGGGCTGCGCGGAAACGTTCACAGTCCACAAGTCGGCACAACCATCGACAGTGAGCACGAGGCAACGAGGCACAATAACGTTTTTCTTAAGTGCGTTACTGAAGTTCGGCTCGGCTGAACCGTAGTAAGAACCCGCAAAAGAACGCGAAGAGTTTACACGCACAAACATTGCGGAATGCGGGGCCAAGCAGACGTCTTCAGACATGGAAACACTTCCAAGCAGTCATTGATTGATTGATTGATTGATTTGTGGGGTTTAACGTCCCAAAACCACTACTTGATTATGAGGGACGCTGTAGTGGAGGGCTCCGGAAATTTTGACCACCTGGGGTTCTTTAACGTGCACCCAAATCTGAGTACACGGGCCTACAACATTTCCGCCTCCATCGGAAATGCAGCCGCCACCGCCGGGATTTGATCCCGCGACGTGCGGGTCAGCAGCCGAGTACCTTAGCCACTAGACCACCGTGGCGGGGCTCCAAGCAGTCATCAACGGTATCTTCTGTCATGGAGACGGCAACACGGGACGAAAAATAATCCCACCACTACCACAATCTAGAGTTGCATCACAAGCCCGCAAAAAATCTAGACCTAGAAAGACGTCGTGAGCTGCTCGTGCAAGCACCGTTAGTTCAGCTCGAAACGTTTGATTTCCCACAGAAAGGACTCAACGTTTCTCCCCCTACGCCGCGGAACGTAGCACCGCGATTCCAAGCAAACATTACTTTCGTCCCAAGGCGATTTTTAAAGGACACGCTCATTACGGAAACGGCAGCACCGGTATCAACTAGTGCAATAGTACTCACATTGTCTACAAAAACACTCACTTTGTTCTCATCCATTACAACACAAGGGGGTCTTGCGGAAGATGATTTTGCGGCCTCGCCCCCATTGGTCGCACCAGTTAGTTTCCCAGTGGTGGTGGCGTCCCCGAGTGGCGACGCGGAGACGGGGATCGTTGTTGGCGTGCGGGTGGTGGGGTAACGCTGCGGTCGGAGCAAGGCGAGTCAGCACGTGCTGCGTGTTGCCGTTGAAAAGAGCCCTGAAATGGTTGAGACTCGCCAGCAGGTACATAGGGCGTGTACACGTTGAATCGTGCAGCTCACTGCTGGCGATGGTAGCAGTACCTAGCGATGTGTCCAGGTAGCCCGCAGTTGTAGCAAGTACGGGTGTCGCGTGTAGTCGTCCCCGGCGAAGTAAACCTCGTCGATTGGTAAAAGCCGGGCAATGGTGGCCGAGGAGTAAATCGCTGTGATGCAGCTTGCCTGCGTTCCTGGTTTTCGAGTGGTCATTCACTCCTTCGTTCGAAGCGATCGGTGTAATTCGGTCGAGGCTCGATGTAGCTCTGTCGCATCCGAGGTACCAGTGGTTCACGGGGCCGTTGGTCGAATGCACACCGATGGCAGACACCAGCGGTTTCCACAGCTTGCAGTTGAGCAAGTTCTTCCCTAACCACTCGTCTTAAAAGAGAAGAGATGTCGTCCTGCGATGGAAGGTTGACACTTGCAATCGTGGGTACATTCTCAAGACGTCCAAATTTCGGTAGCACACTCCTTCTCTTTAGCGCTTCAAACGCTTGGCAGTGTCTCCTTAGGTCGGAAGGTGTGTGTAAGTCTTCCTTAGTGATAAGAAAATTTGAGACGTTTTCCGCGATTCCCTTGAGCAGATGACCTACCTTATCTTGGTCACACATGGTCGCACTCACGATTCCGCAAAGCTTCAAGACGGCCTCGATGTAGGTGGTGCATGTTTCGCCAGGTAACTGAGCTCTGCGTGAAAGCGTTTGCTCCGCCTGCTTGACCTTAGCTGTTGAATCACCAAAACACCTCTTCAGCTCATCCACGAAAATTTCCCATGTTGTCAATGCACTCTCTTGGTTGTCGAACGAAAGAGATGCGGTGCCGACGAGAAAAAACACCACGTTCTCGAGGTGCTTAGCAGTGCTCCAGCGGTTGCTGCGACTCACTCTTTGGTAGTGCTTGAGCCAGTCGTCAACATCTTCATCCGGCTGCCCCGAAAAGGTCCTCGGCTGACGTTCCGGCATGCCGCAGCGAGCTTGTCCTGGCGGGTGAGCGTGTTGCTCATCAGCAACGAGGTTGTTATGGCCTGCTCCCGCGTCCTCCATGTCTGGTAGCTGTGGTGGCAAGCCTGCCAAGCGTCTGCTCCGTCGCAAAATTGGTAGAGCTGGGTCGTCCAGATCGATGTACCAGGCACCTTCCACCAAACTGTTACGAGTGACTGTGTTTATTTAAAGATAAGGTGAAATGGCGTTGTGAAAGAACAGCATACTTCTGAGACAGGCCTAGAACGCTTCACCCAACCACACAGTCCAAGCGCCGCTCCACTACTCTTCTCCTTTCAGATTTGGGTGCACGTTAAAGAACCCCAGGTAGTCAAAATTTCCGGAGCCCTCCACTACGGCGTCTCTCATAATCATATCGTGGTTTTTGGACGTTAAACCCCACAAATAAATCAACTACTCTTCTCCTTTTTCCGCGCCCCGTAGGCTCGCGCATCTTCGTTTCAATATATTGCCGCAATCATTTGCCATTCTTATCGCTTTGCTTGTGACGCACGTGGATAGTGTGTATCTTCGCTCCATCATGAAGGCTTGATCCGTGAACTTATCTTCGTGCCACGTTTTATTGGAAAACGCCCCTCGCGAATAAGCCGAGGGCAGCCGTGGGCACCGGTGTAGTAGTTCGCCATCTGTACGGCGGTTCACTTGTTTCTTCCGGGTGCAGGTCAGCCCAGTGAAATAAAAGATTGTTGCGGCTTACTCCTGATCCTGTCGTGCACGTTCCTTCATCGTCGCGGCTGCATGACAACTGGTGGAGGTGCTCGGTAGACATCTTTCTTCGTTATGTTGTTTAGCCTGCGATAGTCGATGCAGAACCGGAGGCTTCCATCTTTTTTCTTTACGAGAACGATTGTTGCTGCCCAAGGGCTTTTCGAAGGTTGAATGACGTCATCGCGAAGCATTTCGTCCACTTGTTTCCGAATCGCTTCACGCTCTCGCGGCGACACACGGTACGGGCTTTGGCGGAGAGGTCGGGCGTGCTCGCTGGTTATGATCCGATGCTTGGCAATTGGTGTTTTCGGCACCTCGGACGAGGTTGCGAAACAGTGACCGTAGCTTTCTAGGAGAATGCGGATCTGATTTTGCCTGTCGCTGGGAAGCTCAGGGTTGATGTCGAATGCAGGTGGCTGGTTTTGCATTCGCGAGTCTTGGTGAGACTGGTCGGAGATGGCGAACGTGCCTGGAGTGTCCCCTACTTCATCTAAGAAGCTAATCGTGCTGCCTTTGTGGAGGTGTCGGTGTTCCCTGCCGAAGTTGGTTACGAGCCCGTCAGCTTGTCCATTCTTGAAGTAAGCGATGCCTCTGGTGACGCCAAGCTGTCGGTCTAAAAGGAACTGCCTGTTTCCCTCCATCACGCTTTCAACATCCTCGGTGTTGCCTGTAACCACTGGTATTATGACGCTTGACCTTGGTGGAATGCTTACTTCTTCATCTAGAACACGCAGGATGGCGTGGTGCCCTAGGGAGGTCTTCGACTGAATGGTTTGGCCCGTGGAAAGTGTGATCTGTCTTGATTGAAGGTCGATGATTGCTCGATGTTTGGTCAGAAAATCCATGCCCAAGATGACATCGCGGGAACACTGCTTCTGGACTATGAAGCACGCTGGGTAAGTACGTCCACTGACAGTCACTCGTGCTGTGCATCGTCCCGTGGGCAACACGAGATGGCCTCCGGCTGTGCGGATCACGGGATCATCCCATCTATTAATTACCTTCTTTACTTGCTCTGCGAAGGCTCCGCGTATTACAGAAAAGTCGGCTCCTGTGTCGATAAGTGCTGTTACACTACGGCCGTCTATAAGTACGTCAAGGTCAGAGACTCTAGATCTCGAGCGGGACGTCAGTCTTGGTGTCGAATCACGGCTTCTGCGAGTGCTGCAAGTGCGGTTGGGGCGTGCCGTCGAGCTTAGTGCGAAGTGTCATCGTAGCAGCCGTGGTGTCTCCGTCTGGGCGCCGTCGTCGTGCGGTATGATCAGTGGATGTTGCTCATCCATTCGCCGGCAAGCAACCTCGCCTCCAAAGGCTGCTTTACTCAGTCTCCCCTACGAGGGTTCGGGGACCTTCCTCGCGCTGCCGGCGCGTTGCCACGGCCTGGCGATGTGTAGCGGCTGTATGGCGGTGATGGGGATCGTGATGGACGGGTGGGCGGATACTTGGCACGGCGCAAGTAGTATTCAACTTCACGTGGTCGCTGTCCGGGTCGCGGTCGTGGTGCGTTGAGGACAAAACCACGAAGTCCCATGCATTTGTAAGGGCAGTATCTGAGGATGTGGCCTGGCTTACCTCAGTGAGCCAGGCCACATCATAAATTAAATACATAGTAGAGCCAAGTGAACCTTTAGTACATATACGCGTTTGTACACTTTTCATAGGTTAACGATCAAGGATATTACATTTGTATGAACGATATAGCCCATCCAGTTGGGCAATTACCTAGCTTTGTCCTCTGAAAAACGCCAATAAAACAAATTCATTAAAATGCCATCCATAAGACAAATTCACAAAAAATAGCAGTGTTATGTCCACGCTCCCTTTCTTTATGCAGTGTTCCCATTTGATTCTTCTTAGTCGTACATCACGAATCTGTTCACGCTTCTACCAGAGTAACCAGTGCTGTTTTTTTTCTTACAACCCAACCGCAGACTCCAAGGAGCTGCTCACATCAGTGTACTCTAACATTTGCATTTCGTACGCGAGAACTGCCAAGAGCTGCACGCTAGGGCAACAGCACCTTTTCAGCATTTCGACGAATACTTATTTCTGCAATTAAAATTTATGCGCACCATTTCGCTATATAGAGTAGTTTTTGCTTATTTCCACTCATTTATGGGGAGTGGCTACTCACCGCTCCCCTGTTCTTGAGAGCGCCGAAACTTGCGCCAAGGTCAAGTATGAGGTACAAAAATTAGCGACGTATAGGTCGGTGTCCCTCCAAATGAATAACGCTTCTTCACATCTCTTTCGCGAATGTCCGCGTGCAGTTAGGGTAAAAAAATGGCGCAGAACGAACCTCAAGATTTTTATTGTTACTGCATGCAGTTGCTTTTTAGAAAATGGGGATTTTTATAGCTGGTACATTATCTGCACAGCAGCACTCGTTGCCTTGGTCGTGATTCACTGTTGCAAATCTATACTGGAATATGAGAACTTTACTGAATATTCATAAGAGTGAGCAAATGTCGGTGACATACGCTCTCCTGCTGACTCCTGCACCTCAATTCTGACTTCTGTACTTGATATTCATCATCAAATGACGCAACCACTAATCAAACACCTACCAATTGATTTTCAATTTTGATCTTTCTCAGTCTCGCTGCTTTCGGTTTGTTTCTTTTTTTGTCATACTTTCCTAAAATCAACAGTTCAACTTGTTTCGTAGAACATGAGCATCAACATACATAGGGCAGTGTTTCGGTAAGCTGTCGCGCATGTACTATTACTCTTTTATTTAGAGCAAGACACAATGTCATACCTTGACGACTGATGAACGGATAGTTGTTGTTACTCTTTTATTGCAGTAAAAAGAGTAACAATGGGACTGCACCTCCCAGTGTTTGCCCAGATGCAGAGAGATGTATGATATCTTGAATAAGGTGTGTCGTATATATAGCACTGCAAAATATTTCCGTCACAGAACATCTTGTACAAAAACGACCATCACAAGACAGCGGGACGAAACGGCGACGCACAAATGCCACGGAATGCAGGCGACGGTGATCATGACGCCGGCGCCGGGCGCCCAGCCGACGTGGGGGCGGCATGGGGGGGGGGAGCTTTTCTTTTTTTTTCGTGCTCGCACTTGTGGCTGATGCAGGCTCCTGGCACCAGGTTGGCGCGCGAGAGACGGCGGCTCTCCCCATTTTTTTTCGTTTTTTTTCCCTTCTTGCGCCTGCTCTTACCAGCTGTTTGTGTTACTGCCACGGCGCGCGGCTTTCACAGGTATTTTTATTGCTGGGCTCCCTATAAACGTGATTTTAGTCAGTACGCAGGAGCGCGCCACCTATATGCCGTTTGTTAACCGGCACCTGACTGAGAGAGAAGCTTGCCCAAGGATTCCAGTTCAGCATCTGAAATCTCATCTGCTAAGAATTGCTGCTGTTCAGTTGTTTTCCGCCTCTAGTTAATTTAGTTTGGTTTGATTTTGCAAAATATTGTGATCCCTCTGGGTAAACTTCTGCGAGCAGCAACGAAAACAAAGGGCTCCCAGTTTGAATCAACCGCAGTGGATACTCATTGATACAAATTATCGAGAGATTTCCCTCATAGAAATACACATGGCTATGGGCTTTTACTTAATCGAGTTCAGATAACGACCTTTTACTCTAGTAAGATTTGTTCTATATATAATACCTTACACATGACAAGGAATTCTTACACATGTCAAAGAATGTTTATTTTTAACAGAGTTGGCAGTGTTTGTACATGATGATTTGAAAGTGTACTAACAGCTATTTCCTTGACATTGCTATCACGTTTGAAGCCAAAAGGACTAGTTTTGTATGATACCCATGTTAAGAGTGAGGTAGACAGTTGGGAAGTAGTGAAAAATGAAAATGTGAATTCAGCTTGCGCCGTTGTCAATTGTTTGAGCAGTGTGTTTGATGACTATTCACCATTGACACAAAAAGAAAACTCATTTATTCATCTCCCCGCAGGGGCGCCTGCGTAAGTAGGCATTTGGTGTGTAGTGGCACCACGGACCCGGGCTAACGGGAGAGTTTCAACTCCCTCCCACGCCTAGCCGTGCGTGGCTGTGCCGTGTCCGGGAAAAAGGGGGTCCAGGGGGTTGAGCCGACGCCAGGTGATTGGACCTTCAAGGCCCGCCGGCCGAGGCAACACACCCCTTTGCCTCCGGCTTCACGTAGACGGCACCCTTGGGCTGACCCACCCAGGGGAAATCGGCAGTCGCCTTTTCCTATCTCTCTCTCCCTACATCTTCATCTTTCTTCTCAATTTTGGTCTGTTCTGTCTACTCCTCTCTTCTATTTGCTTCCATGTTCTCTGGTGGCAAGGGTTAACCTTGTGTGGCTAACCACCCAGAGTTAAGCCATATTCGGGTATAGTCGTGGTATACAGCTGGCGTGGACAGGCCTTGCACGTGAGACCTTGTCCCGTCCCCTCGTTGGGCTCCATGGTGGGTGGCTGCTACTGCGACTGAAGCATACACAAACTAGATGGACTCTCCAGTCTTTTCACCTGATCGCCACCCTCAAAAGAGGACGCGCACCGATGTAACACAAAAATTTTTCGCTAACAACAAATGCACATTCCCAAGATTCTTGTAATTCACAGCGAGCACGCAGAAAGAACAGCGAGACATATCTCCCCTTTCAAAATATCCAGAACTCTAACCGACACCTTAGGGAAAAGGTGTAAAATCAAGAAACTAGCCAATGGTGACCTTCTTTTGGAAGTACTGTACAAGCACCAGTATGAGAACCTTTCAAAAATCTTTGCCTTCGAAGACATTCCAGTGACTATTACACCTCACCGATCACTAAACACTGTCCGAGGCGTCATTTCTGATGATGACCTCAAATATATAAGTGAAGAAGAACTCCTGGATGAACTAAAGGGCCAAAATGCCACAAATGTGTATAGAAGAAAAATCAAACGAGAAAAAAAAGGAAATGCAAACAAAGCACTTCGTTCTCACTTTCGCATCGAGCATACTACCAGAAACTGTGGAGGATGGATACACCAAACTCAAACTACGCCCATACACACCAAACCCGCGACGCTGCTTCAAATGCCAACGATACGGCCACGACTTGCAGAGCTGCAGAGGCCAAAACACATGTGCTAAGTGTGCCTCGCACGAACACACTTCCGAAAATTGCGAGGTCGAACCACACCACTACGCGAACTGCGAGGGTAGTTATCCTGCGTACTCGCGTGCTTTCCCAATATGGAAACAAAAAAAGCATTGTTACTCTCAAAGTTAAGGAAAACATCAGCTTCAGAGAAGCGTGGAAGCGTCTTTTGTTGATGGAAAGCAGAAGCTACTCCGTTGTGCTGTAACAGTGCGCGGCAACACAGCGGCCTTCAGCACCTGCCCAGGGCACACCTAGTGGCATCAGGCCAGGGCACCCAGCGCCTAAAGTGGACGCAGCTCCCGCTGCACCACTACCTCAAACTCAGGCTGTGCGTACCCTTGGGTCAGCGAGCCTCGAAGCCTCTCTTCATGCGGCAAGGCTAAACGAGAAGAAATCCGTGCAATCAGGATGAACGTCCATCGTGTCAGGCGATGCAATGAACACAAGTCAGGGTAGTCCTGGTCCGTTGACGTTAGAACGATGGCGGGACTCCTTAGATCGAAAAAAAGACAAGCCCAGAATCACTGGGCCTGATAAGAAAACTTAAGTTTTACACTACCCGTACCATACAACATGGCTTTTATACATTGAACTGCAGGGGACTCCTACATAACTTGAACGACATAAAAGGACATACTAGCCACTTCCTCACCGGTAGCCTTGTGTTTACAAGAAGCGTCCTAAACATAGGAACATCTTAAAAAACTACAGTATATTTCGGCATGACCGAGAGCAGGCAA